GGCAGCTGCTTGCGGTCTTGGGAACCTAAATGTGGGGGGAAATATCATCCTTTATTGTTTACTATTTTTTAAAGTTACAAATAACCACAGCTTCTAGACATATCCAAGATCCATGAACTTAAAAATGTTTCTGGATAGTCTCTTCCAGTCTGCCTAGTAATTCTCAGTGTGGTCCAAATCCGTTATCAGTGACTTCCACTCTAATTTTCAAGAAAACCATTGAGAAAGTATTTCTTGAGATGTCTACTTCCTAGAACCATTTGGAATCGTCTTCCCCATTAACACAATGGAGATGCTGCCCTGATCTCTGACTGCAGATGGACAACACTAATGACAGATCTGTATGATGGCAATCTAATAGATCTCTTCCCCTGAGAAGGAAACTACATACAGATGTAATGAGCGTTTTGAACTATTTTTATTTAAAAAAAATCTTATGTCATCCCTGTGTATCCCTATGGTACCCTGAAGGCTACATTCCAACTGTAATTGAAGACTTCTGCTAGTACCCAGATCTGTTTACTCAACCAGTTATTGCCCAGTTTAAAGTAACTGTGAGCTGGAACTTGAGCTATTAATAAAATGCCAGGAAAGCAGAACAGTTATATCCAACAAGATGTGCATTCCTGTTCTGTTGGTACATACCTCAGGCATGTTATGAGCTCACAACACCTAAGCCATTCACCCAGAGCCCAGGAATGTGCACCCCATTCTAGTAAGGCACCTAATTTTCATTCAAAATATACTCCCTGTTTGTGGAATTTGGACCATTCTCCACAACAGTTATTCATATTTAGTATTTATTTTGTGGTAAATACCTAATGATATGACTAGAGAGAAGCATAAGCCAGCAGATGCAGATTTGCATCTGGTATGGGGAGGGCTATTGGTCTGTGCCTGTCTCTGGTTCTAAACTATATTTCAGCCATTGTTTAGAGAAAATAACAGTGCAGGGAAAGGAATGAAAATTAAAGGCCAGATCCTTAACTGATATAAATGCACTCCACTGATTTTAATGGAGATGCATTGAAACATAGCACTTGGGGATCTGGACCCACCCCTACCACCATCATCACTGCACACACATCACTCCAAACCTATCATGAACAACACCAGTACGTGTTAAAGCCGCTCTTCCAGATGGCTGTAGGGTTCTGAGACTGCTGATAGACTGATAGAAAGAGGAAATTTTGGTATGATGCACTAACAGGATGGATGAGAAAGGGACCACCCACAGCCTGTTGTCCAGCAAGTAGCCCTGGAGGCTTTAAATTGTAGGCATCAAAAGTACTTGTTAAGCAGAAAATATGTACTTCATTATCCGCTAATCACGCATACCCTGTGATTTTTGTAAACTGACGTGTCTGTGTGGAAGTAAGGGGCACCACCTCCACAGCCACAGCACTGCTTTCCCAGCAGCCTCAGAAGCAGTTTGGTAGAAGCCCAACATACTTTGTGCAGTTACTGTGACTGCCCTGCTGCACTTTCAGTAGCTGCCTTACTGGTTGGCTGCTACATTGCATGGATGGAAAGAAAGAATAGCTCTGGCTGTCCCACTGATCCTCCCCTAACAGACTGAGAGAAGCAGGAGGGGAAGAAGGAGGAGAGGGGAAGGGCTGTACTTATTGTACAGTTTGAGGGCACATATACACGAGATATTTACTGTGCAGTTGACTAATTAGTTGCGCAATAAATATCACGTATGTACATGTGCACCCCTATCAGGCTGGAGTAAACTAATGAACTCCGCAGCAGGATAGTACTTGTGTAAGTACTATCCTGTACTTGTATAAGTACTATCCTGCTGTGGAGGAAAAAAACTTCAGCAGCACACATGTAGACACTGCCCCAGCTGCCTGGGGCACAAGGGTGCTTCAGTGCAGGGCCTGCCTGCCGACTAGCCCTGCACTTAAATACCGTCATGCTCTGGTCAGCCCCTCTATAGCACACTGAGCCGAAGGAAGCAGCCTTGTGTTGGCAGGCAGACCCCCTCAGGCCTCCTGCCATCCAGAGCTGCTCCAACCCAGCTCAACATGCTATGGTCCCGGAAGCAATAAACTTTGGTGCTTGTGGCACCAGGAAAGCACTGGGGTTTATTGCATCACATTAATATTCATGTGTAGACACACCCTGAATGTAGGGATTTGATGCCCTCATCTCCACAGGATACCATTGCACTGGACAAATTAAGAGTAGACAGTCGAATTTAAGAACCGATTATGGCCCCAGGATTCTCTGCTTCTGTATAGGTAAGAGCAGCCTGGGGACTGTTCTCACTTGCAGCAGTTGGCTGTGGTACCCCCCAAACCAGCTGATGATAGAGTGCAACATGCATTAATCCCATCTGTTCATAAGCCATCCTCTAGAACCTGTCAAAAGGGAAGTCTAGGAGCCAGACATGCTGGAACTGCATCAACCATAGACCCTGCCGATGCTGAGGGACTCCATAGGTAGGGACCTGTGAGTGGCTTTTGCACTACAAATGCAATGGAAAATGCCAGGAAATCTGCTCGAAAATATTTATTGGGAACTCTTGGCCACTTTGAAAAAATATATTTGCCTAAAAGACTGGACACAACTGACTTGTGGGAACCCAGCAGTGCGGAAGGCAGGAACAACCATGAATACCCTAGTGTTTCTTGCTGTTCATCTACCTTCATTACGAAGTCAGGATAGCTGTGACTCCATACTGTGCTCTGCTGAGGGTTGCAGCTAGTGCCACTAACCCATTTCCAGCCTGTTCTCTCCTCCTTTTGCCTCTTACTGAGTTACATCTGACACTCATGGAGACAACCCTTACCAGACTGCTTTCTCCCCTGGCAGATTTATCACAATGGTGCAAACATACTCTTGGTGTTTTCCACTTGATTATTCAAACACAAATGCAGCATGTGTTTGCAGCATGTGGAGGTCAGCATTGGCATCCGCACAGAGTGACTTGCATGTGGAATGTCTCCCATTTTCCTTGTAATGTTCCCCTTTCCCCTCACGTTGGTGAGTAACAAGGAAGATGTAGAGTTTCCAAAGTGTTAAGGAGAGTTCGTTTTCTTACTCCCTATGGTTAAAGACACTAGTTGTTTTCTCATTTTGTGATGAGTTGCATGATAGGCTTGGTCCGTAAACTTGATTTATCTGAAACTCCCTATCATTTTCTTATGCAGGAATTTAACACTGTGCAATTGCATATGTGCTGAAAATATATTTAAACATTCTTAGGTGAGATTCACCTTTTGTGCAGAAGTCTGTCTAATAGGGCTGTGCGAAGCTTCAGTCCCAGATTTGATTTGGTGGAGATTTGACCTGATTTGGTGGCCGAATCTCCGAATCCGAATTGAATGAGGAGACCCTTTAATCTCTCCAAATTGAATTGGACCCTCCAAACCATTCAGACATAGATACAGCTTTAAATATTATTTCTACATAATTCAACGTACCAGGCAGCTCATGCATGCTGAGATGCTGGGGTGGATGGAACGTCCCACAGGAGCACAGGGGGCTCCCCAGCATGCTCAACAGCAGACCTGGAAGTGAATCAGAAGCACTTCCAGTCCACTTCCGGGTCTGCCGAGGAGCATACGGGGGGGCTTCCCTGTGCCCACCCCTGGCTCAGCAACTGGTCCCCCACAGCCGATTGCTGAGCTGGGGGGGTTCACGGTGGCCCCCCAGCATGCTCAGTGGCAGACCTGGAAGTGGACCAGAAGTACTTCCGGCCCACTTCCAGGTTCATCGCTGAGCACATTGGGGGCCTCCCACACGTTCCTGTAGGATGCTCCATCTGCTCCACCATTGCAGTATTCACGAGTCACACCTGATACCTTGAGGTATATAGAAAAAACATTTAAAGCTGTGTCTATGGCCGAATCACTGATTCTCTGGATCAGCATCAGATCTTCAGATTCGGATTCAGCTGAATCAAATCGGGGACAGTGATCTGAATCAACTCAGGATTTCACTTGGGCATAGGCTTTGTCTTGGTTGCCTGAGCAGGGATGAATTTCAAATGTTTGTGAAAGCAAAAAGTACACTTAATAAGCCAACTTCACCAGTAGACTTTGGCTGCTTTGTGCTACTCAAGCAACACAAAGCACTTGTAAACCCAGTGTAATTGACTTGTTAAACCAGGCCTACAGCTGCTCTCTGTACCTAGGGCAGTGCAAAGGTAATGGAATACACCAGTAAATTTGATCAAGTATTTTAAAATATGAAATTCTTTACTTGACATATGAATTAAAAAGAATGGAGTAAAATCAGAGTCAAAAAAGCTTATGGGCATTATGCTTTGGTCTGTTAGAACTCTATCAACAATACTGACTAAAACCTTGGTTCATCTTGGATATTTTTCCCTTTTACCTCAGAGCAATACTGTAAATCATATTTGTGAGAATGAAATATCTACCTTATCCCAGTTGTAGCATGAAACAGACATAGTAAGTGGCAGTTTAATTTAAGATGAACAAACGATAAGTAGAGAGCCAGAAAGTATATTGGATTTAATTAAAAGGGGGCATGCTTTATCTTCTTGGATTATATGAATGTTTTTTTCTTACCTCTCCCTCCTCGTAATATTTTCTTTGGAGTTGAATGAAAGGGATCAGCTGCTGTTGAGAAAAAAACGGATGTGACACGAAAGAGACTTCATTTGCTTTTGGCATCTTCCTCCCTCCCCCCCCCTCATTTTTTTTAAAGAAATATTGATGCTCATGTTCTGCAGGAATTATCCAAACAAGATAATAAATAACCTCTCCTGCAATGACTGCCAGGGTCTCAGTCTCTTGTCTTGTAAAGCACATAAACTGTGCTTTAAATATAAGTATATTAACACACTCTTCTTGCAGTGATTTGTAATGACCTCTGCTATGTGTGGCCTGATCTTTTTCCCACTGTAAGCATGATACTGGAGAGGCAAACCTTTTCCCTCCATGCTAAACATATGCATCTGGGCACCCTTCCCTCGCCTCCCCAAAATTCATTTCTAACATCCATTTATGTTTATTTTACAGTTGTTCAACACATCAAGAGACACAATATTGTTCTAAAAAGAGAGCTTGGAGAAGGAGCTTTTGGAAAAGTCTTCCTGGCTGAATGCTATAATCTCTGTCCTGAACAGGACAAGATCTTGGTGGCAGTGAAGGTAAAGAGTCTACAGTTTCCATTATTAATTCATGGTTGCAACGAATGCTATTTTATTTGTAAAAGATCATGTTTGCTTATTCAGTAGCCCCAGCATAACGCCTGTGATATATGTGCAAGGGTTCACAAGGCTAATGGAATGTCAAGAGAACATGATATTTGATCTTGCTGTAGCGTATAAAATGAGAACTGAGTTTCATAAAGAAAAGAGGAAAATTAACAGTGTCACAAAAGGGACAATTTTTTTAATGATCTATCTGAAATATGATGGTTGAAAATGCGTAGCTGAATGTTATTAAAAATATATGTGGTACCATATTTGTATGTCTAAAAAATCTATCACTAGCCACATGATTAAGGTGCGCATGTAATTTCTAGTCAAAGAAGAATTATTTCAAAAACGTTCATGTGATTCTTAGTCAACTGCTGAAACTGTATGTGAGCGGTCCAAATCACTGCCATGGCTGCCAAAATATTACAATGCTATTTGCAGACGTAACACTTGAATAGAATTGTTGTATGCTGTTAAGCAGCTGCCATATTGAAATCCATGTGCCGCTGGATTTCAGGACAAGGGATTCTTCATTATAAGATGGCATTATATCCCCTTCCCCCAGAGAAAAACCCACGGGAGGAGGAAAATTAAGTGAACACATCAGTAACTTTTAAGTTTCTGATTTCAGTGATGATCTCCCCTAATAGGAGAGGGGAGGTTTGTCAACATCACAGAATGGGCCAAACTGCATGGATCTTTGGGATCCACTGAGAAATAAAGTAATATACTAAGTTTTTACGGCTCCCATACAGGAGGTGTTATCTGCTGGTCTGTTTAACAAGCCCATTTCTCTCTAAGGCTAGGGACAGACATTACACATAAACCAGGTTAAGTGATCAGAAACTGGTTTAAACCTGTAACAGAACAGAAGTTTAGTGCATATAAACCAGTATGAAAATGGCTGAAACCAGCTGAATGTAGTGTCAGACTTAGCTGATTTGAGCTAAATCAGTTTATGCAGTGTCTGTCCCAGACTCCTTTCTGGTTTAAGTTAAATCAGACTCCCCCAGCATCCCGGCATGGTCTCTGGG